AAAATTTAAGTAAATTGTACTGCACATTTCATCCAGGACATAATGGATTTCTGGGACATTTCTTTGAGCTGAAGAATAATTGAATACATCATGTTGAATCCATATAATGGTCTAAACAGCCATACTTTAATACTGCTCTCTGAAAGGCAACAAGAGACTCAACAGATATTATGTGGCATTAATCAAATTCAGATTATGCTCATGCTGTGGATAACTATACTTTGCCACATATTGAATTCAAATATCTAATGAATAATATCATAACACATAGGAGCAGTAGTTGGCCAATCAGCCCATTGTGTCTGCTCTGCCATTCAATGAGATCATAGCTGATCCAACACTCAACTCCACTTTCCCACCTTTTCCCCAGAAGCCTTGATTCCCTTGCTAATTTAAAAATCTCTCTCAGGCCTTGAATATACTGAACAACTGAACGTGAAAAAAGAATTGCTCAGATTTGCTACCTTCAGAAGAAATCCCTTCTCAACTGTCTTAAATGAACAATGAGATTATGCCCTCTGGTCTCAGACTGTCCCATTAAGGGAAGATGACCTCTCTGCATCTACCTTGTTTTATAGAAGCTTTGGTAAGGTCACCTCTCATTCTAAATCCCAATCAGTACAGGCCCGAACTACTCAACCTCTCAAGAGATAGTCCCTCCAAACCTGGTATCAACCGCCTCCAACACCAGTACAGCTTTCCTTAGACAAGGGCACAAAACTGCTCGCAATACTCCAGCTACGGCCTTGTATAGTTTTAGCAATACCTCCCTCCTTGTATACTCATTCCATTTGAAATGAAATGAAAGGTCAATACTCCATTTATTTTCCCTGTTATTCACTGTATTTGAATACTAACTTTTTGAGATTCACGCACAAGGAGTCCCAAATCCCTCTGTTCTGTAGGTTTCCGGATTAACTCGTTTAAACAATATTTAGCTTCTCTATTCTGCTTGTCCAAGTGCACAGCCTCTCAATTTCAGCATGACATTCCGACTGCCAACTCACTGAACCTGTCTATGGCCGCCGACAGATCCTGTGTTATCACCACTTGTTCCCATGTAACATAGGAAAGCTTGACACCTACACCTTTTCAAGTCAAACACGAATACATTTAAGTCCAAAATATGTAAGAGCAGAGTTACAACATCCGACCCATCGAGTCTGCTCCAATGAGATCATGGTTAATCTGATAATCCTCAACTCCACTTTCCTTTCTTATTGCCAGAACCTCTGACTCCCTTACTGTTAAAATCCTGTCTTTTCCAAGGCTTTAACATACTCAACAATCCAGCCTGACAGCTGTTTCCAATCAAACAAAATCCACAGATACATCCTCCTCAGGAAGAAATAAATTCCACCTCATCTCTCATGATAGGGAAACCACTAAGATTTTGCCTTCTCGTCCTAGGCTCTCCTAAAGGAGAAACAACTCGCAGGTAGACAGGACAGTGAAGGCAGCATTGAAGGCAACTTGTCAAACTCACCATAACAACCTCTATTCTACACTCACAGGCATGGTGTTTCATATGTAAACAAAGTTCAAAAACAGGAGATGCAAGAACAGGCAGAGACATTATTATAGGGCAGCATACAGTAGGTGCTAGAAATCTGAAATAACAAAATGCTGGAAATACTCAGATCAGGCAGCATTCTAAAAGGAGAGTTCATGCTTCCCATGATGACCTTTCATAATACCTTGCTAAAACATCAAATCGTTCCTTACTCCAAAGATGCTGCCTAACCTGAGCATTTCCAGCATTTGAGATAGTAGGAACTGCAGATGCTGGAGAATCCGAGACAACAAGGTGCAGAGCTGGATGAACACAGCAAGCCAAGCAGCATCATAGGAGCAGAAAGGCTGATGTTTCGGGCCTGGACCCTTCATCAGAAAATCTGATTTTCTGATGAAGGGTCCAGGCCCGAAACGTCAGCCTTTCTGCTCGGCCTGCTGTGTTCATCCAGCTCTGCACCTTGTTGTCTCATTTCCAGCATTTTCCATTTTTATAACAGCTTTATTACCCTGAATATAGGCTTTCCTTGAAGCAATCTTACGAAATTCAAAAAGGAATCTCTTCTCTTTTCATTAATTTATGAATAGCTTCTTGCTTAAATACAAGATCTATAAAACAACAGTTCCAGAGCCAATATTTCATCTTTTTAAAATTCTTCACTGGAATAAATCTGTGGCACAATTCTAATCTGTACTCGCCAAAAATCCAAAATCTTCACAGAAAGCCGAGCAGTCTCTTTGGTATTGTTACTAACTAGGCTTCTGGGTTTGACAGTCTCTAGACAATCATTAAAAATCAGAAACTTATAATTTCAGTTACAGGTCTAAGAACATTGAAGAAGGTAATGTTTCAATGAATTGTGGGAATCAGGAGTTATATTATGCAATCTTAGATTGGAATGCAGCTGAAACTTCACAAACATGGTGAGATAAAAGACATTTCTCAAAAGAGAAAAAGACTTGGTGTAATCTACCCAGCATATAAAGACCCCACCTGCCGTTATCCTCTCCACAAATCCCTCAGAGCAGCTGCATTGCAAAGTTACAAACAGCTATTTATTGCTCACAACTTTGATAAGTATCACTGATTTCTTTAAATACGTCAGTGGTAAATTGGGTAATAATCCTTTGTATATTTCCTACTATGCTTCATCTTCCTTCAATGAAGAAACTGTGCTGTTTGGATAAAATGTACTTTCACTTCCAGTGCTATTTGCTCCAAGCTGACAACACTTTGAATACATTCCAGCCAACAAGCATTTCAATTAATTCACCAATACTTCTTGAAAAAAAAAGCTTAACTAGTTTGAAAATTGCCAGTTCAGTCAATCAAGTCGGGGGGGGGGGGAAGAGAGAGAGAGGCGGGTGCACGCGCACTAGGGGGAAGACTAGTAGACAGGACTGTGATCAAACATCTTCAACTACCACAGTAGCAGCATAGGGGCACCCACAGTAGTTGAGAATGAGTTGTAGGATTTTGGTCCAGTGACGGTAATGGCAATACACCTCCCAAGTCAGAATTTTGTGATGCGCAGGGAACTGGTGGGTGAATTGCCATTACCTATGGTCTTTCCTTCTCAGTATAGTGATACCATTTAAGATTGTCAAGCTCCAAGACTAAGTTTGTTTTAACAGGGACTAATAATTTTCTAGCACTACTTAAAAAACAGAAAGGCTAAATGTCTTCATGTCTAAGAAACTTATGTTGGTACATTCTTATGCAGCTGTCTTATTACATATCTTGTCATTTGCCCACATGTTTTCAAAGTGCCCTGAACACCCCCATGTCTGATTACTCCATTATTCAACAGCTATCAATGAGTAACCATTGTTCTACATTTGCATTCTAAATTCAACTTCATTTTATTAACGTTTCAGTGCTGAAGCTATTAATGGTGGATATATATTTACGAATTATGAAGGTTACTTTAGCAACACTTGCAGGATTGGCAGTATGCTTTCTGACTCTTTTTTAGCGATTGAAATTTATCTACCGTTCTATTATGAAACATTATAAACAGCCATGGGTGCATTACAGGTACGCACAATAGTCCTACATTGGATTTAAACCAAATACAGTAATCCTATCTAATTCATCCTCTCCCCAAGTCATCCATTACTCAGCTATACACTGACAAAACCAATTACCTGGATTCCTTAGGGCAGTATCATATTGTTGAGAAAAGGAAGAACTGCCATCAGAACAGAAAATAAATGGAGGGTTGCGTATCTATCTGGATGTCCTTTGTGACTGAATAAAGAATAAAACAGTGCAAGAAACCAAAGCGATGAGGGATTGTATGTAGTTGTTGCAATTCGTTTCATTGAAATCAAGACACAACACAGCCCTCGACACCCAGCGTATTCAGATCAGGGCCCCAAACTTTTGTGGTCGCAAAGTCACTGACTCTATTTAGCTTCAAATTTAGTGGTCCTCATTTAACAAAAATAATCCATCCAAATGTACAGCAGGAATCTTTGCGCAGCTGACTAAATATTAAATTTTATTAGCTGCTACAAACAAGCATTTAAGTAACACATTTGGCTGTTTTGAGGGAACTTGCGGGTTTAATTACATTTTAGGACAACTCACTGTCATCGCTTCAGGGTAGTGAATTTCACACATTTGTCTCAAGTATATCCTATTATTTTTAATATCTAAATTAATAGCAATGAATCATACATCAAGCAACTTGGCAATTAAGCAATAAGGGAAAACCTGGGATTTCAACAATAATCTTCTTCAAATTGGTCAGCTCTTGTAAAAAATTACATTAACCAGCTGCAGATCGACTCTTCTGGCATCTTTTCTCTGTTCAATTAAAACTAGTTAATGTAGTTTTGGCATGTGGTTAAGAAGGAGCAATAGCACTTCAACAAAAAAGAAAACACCAAAGAGTGTGGTGCATTTCTCCCGTACATGCACATGGGTCTAGACCAAGATTCCCCAGAGGCTATAAAGAATTAAGTAATTTCAGTTTAAACCATCAAGAAACCAAAGCTCCAGGGGGAAACATCAATACCCAATCCAGTTCTGCACAAGTTTTACATTTCATGTTGAAATCTTAGTGGGAGAAAGAAATAAACAAGTACATCATTCCTTGGTTAACAACAATCCATTCTAAACATTCATGAAAATGGATCTATTAATTATCAAACAAACAATGAGGCACTGATCTCTCAAACTACCTCCATTACAAAAATAGAACTGGATGAACACGATGTAATTTCTGTTGCATGACTTCATTACTTCTTGTTATTTAACTGATCTCAAAAATAGCCTGCTCTCAGTACAAATTAATGCTTTTTATAAGACCAAATAAATATTTTTAATCATATCTGGAATTGTATATTAAAAATAATCAAGCCCTACAAAAGAATCTCAGACTCATTTTGTCTTGACCACCCCCATTGAACAACAGAACAACCAGGATTACAACTAGGTTAATCTGTACAAAAAGTACACGTTCAGCACAATGTATTCTAACCTTTGTCCTGGAATGCAATCCGCTCTTTCTGCAACACTTCCAGTTCTCGTCCAAGTGCCTTCTCCTGTCTCTCTAATTCATTCTGAAGTACTAGGATCTTCAGCTGCAAACGCTCCCGCTCCTTTTTCTACAGGGTGTTAAAACAAAAGGGAACAGTTTCACCTCCATCAATTACCAATTTCGTTCAACAGCCTCCCTCTATCCACTCGAGTGCCAAGTTCCCTGGACCTGATAGGGAAGCAGCTACAGAAACAGTAGGTGCACTTGCAGTAATCTTCCAGGAATCTTAAGATTCTAGAAAAGCCAAGCAGATTGGAAACTGCCAATATAACACCTTTATTTGAAAAGCAAAGGAAGCAATAAACAGGTCTAATTGTAGGCCTGATAGCTTAACATCTCTTATTGGGAATGTGCTAGAGTCTATTGTAAAGAATGTAATAGCAGAGCATTTAGAACCCCATAATACGATAAAGCAAAGTTGGTATGGGTTTATGAAGGGGAAAAAATCTACTCGAATTCTTGGAAAGGGTAACATGCAGTACTGATAAGGGAAGATGTAATATAATTGGATTTTCAGAACTCATCTGATAAAGTACCACATAATAGACTACTTAAGATAAGAGCCCATGGTGTCAGAGGCAGTATATTAGCATGCACAGAGGACTGGCTAATTAAATGACATGTGGAGGTGCCGGCGTTGAACTAGAGTGGACAAAGTCAAAAATCACAACACTGGGTTATAATCCAACAGGTTTATTTGAAAGCTTGCATTTTCAAATAAACCTGTTGGACTATAACCCAGTGTTGTGATTTTTGACCACTAATAAACGACAGAGTTGGACTAAGAAGGGCCTTTTCAGAACGGTAATCTGTAACCACTGGAGTGCCATAATGATCAGTGCTGACACCACAATTATTGACATGTAGTAATGACTTGGGATGAGGAAAGTTAACATACTATAGCCAAGTGTGCAGGTGACAGAAAAACAGGCAGGAAGGCAAGTGGCGAGTCTGCAAAGGTTATGCAGAATGCTATACACGTTAAGAGTCATTCAGTACAGAAACAGACCCTTCGGTCTAACTTAACTATATCAGTCAGGTTCCCCAAACTGAACTAGTCCCCTTGCCTGCTTTTGGAATGGGCAAAAACTCAGATGGAATATAATGTGGGAAAATGAGAGTTTATGCACTTTGGCAGGAAGAATACAGGAGCTAAATATTACTTGTGGAGAAAGATTGGAGAAAGATTGCAGAAAGCTGCAGAGAGGGATTTGGGAGCTTGAACCACAAAAAGGTAGCATCTCAGTTCAGTGGGTAATAGGGAAGAAAAACTGGAATGTTGGCCTTTACTTGCTAGGGATTGGGTATAAAATTAAACGAGGTTTTTCTAAACTATAGAAGGCACTAAACAGGCCACAGCTGAAATATGGTGAACAGTTTTAGGCCCTTCATGTAAGGAAAGATGTACTAGCACTCCAGGCAGTCCACAGAAGGTTACTTAGGCTGATACCAAGTAGAAAGGGACTGTTTTGAGGGGTGGTTTACAGCACTGGATTTGCATGCATTAGAATACCAAAGGGCAACTTTATCGAAACATACAAGATTCTTGGGGGACGTGACAAGGTAGAGTGCAAAGGTTGTTTCCCCTTGTGGGAGAGTCTAGGACCAGAGAGCATCTCAGAATAAGGGATCACCCATTTAAGACAGAGCTGAGGAGGAAATCCTTCTGAGAGTAGGAAATCTGTGGAATTCTTTACTACAAAGGGCTGTCGAAGCCAGGTCATTAAATATATTTAAGGCAGAGTTAGACGGATTTTTAATCAGGAAGGGTATCAAGGGTTACGAGGAAAAGGCAGGAAAATGGAGTCAAAGATTATCCAGTTGTGATTTCACCGAATGGCAGAACAGATTAGATGAGCTGAATGACCCATGCCTGCTTTTATGTTATAGGCTTACAACGGCCTATGGTGAAACTGCATTTGGGGATGATAATCCTTGGGCTGCACAACAGGTGTTGTTATTGTTGCTATTGTTGCTATTATCCAGTGTTCCAACATGCCAATGCTAAAACCAACCATACGAGTTCCCAAGCATGTTTTCATGCACAGAAGCATTTTGGCTTGAACAGAAATTTTTGTTACAGATTGTTGCAAAGTAGAAGTGATATTTTGAAAGAGGTTATCTTCAGATACTTGAGTGCCTTCCGAATGGTTCAAAAGTTGAATTGACAAAAATGAGACACCGGAATAAAACGAAAGAACTGTGGATGCTGAAAATCTGAAACAAAACAAAAGTGAAAACACAACGTGCTGGAGAAACTCAGCACGTCCAGCAGTATCTATGCAGAGTCAAATGTTTGGTCTGTGTGGAGAGAAAGGCCACTGGACTTGAAACATTAACACTTTTCTTCCCCCCCTCTCTCCGCAGATATTGCCAGAGCTTGCTGGGTTTCTCCAAGACTTGCGACTTCAAAATGAGACCCAATTTGATTGCACCCATTTTCAAAGAATATGGTTTGTCTGGCCCAAACAGGCCAAGTGTCTGGAAAATCTCAAAAATTAGTTTTTGACAGTAGAAGTGCTGGTTGATCTAAAAGAACAAAAGGAGATAACGTTAACCTGTAATCAACACTGGAATTTATAAAAGATAACCTTCTAATATCATTAAGTTTCTGATCTCCTGTCCTAATGGTTAACAATTATGGTATCTCTCCAAGCATGGATGGAAGTTACATTTTATCAAATGTCTTTGGAAATCCAAGCATGCCATTCCTATGTTTCCCATTATTCACCTTGCTTGTTACTTCCTCCACTGAATTGTACGTCAAGTTGAAAAGCACTTGCATTATCTTTAAACAGCATATGCCACAGGTACTTCACAGAGGGAAAATGGCAAAAAGGTGTGGAATGTAAAAAAAAATTAAGCCAGCAGTATTTGAATAGGAAGAAACCAACATGCACAGGAAAACAGTAAATAGAGGAGATTTTTCAAAGAAAGACAAGTATAGTAACAACAAGGGAACTGTAAACGGGCAGAGATGCAGTGTACAAATGGGTGCTCACCAACAACAGACAAGGTGAAAGACACTTGGAGTAAGCAGTTTGCACAATTATATTATGCAAATAAGATGAATTCAGATGGATTCAAGTGTTGACATTTTTAAATTCAATAGGAAAGGAGTTCCTGCAAAGGATGGGTCCTGTCACTAACATTCTGTGGCAGCAACTGCCAAACACAGAATTGGTACTGTAGCAGAAACAAAAACAGGGTCAATAGCCATCAGAGATAACAAGGTGTAGAGCTGGATGAACACAGCAGGCCAAGCAGCAGAGGAGCAGGAAAGCTGACGTTTCAGGCCTAGACCCTTCTTCAGAAATCTCAGATTCTCCAGCACCTGCAGTTCCTACTATCTCTGAATCAATAGCCACCAGTACAGCTACAGTGTCATTTTTCTGGCAATGTTAAAGGTTTCAAATAGAAGAACCAAGAAATAATAGCCTTAAACATTAACCCTTATGAGAGTCGATGTGTAATTGATCAGTTGGTTAACAATCTTAAATGCTGCAATAAAACCATAAACCATAAACCCAGAGAAAATAGATTCTTTGCCTTTCTTAAACCATTTCATCTGCAGTGTACCTCAATAAAAAATGTTTTAAAATCAAAGCCAAATGGAAACTCAGATGACGTAAACACATCGCTCATTACTGCGAGGCATCTCCATTCTATATCAAGCGACTGTGCAGCTTAAGTTAACAGTGCTGTCCATCATAACTTACCACTGGAGGTGCTACAAAGCTGTCTGCAGCAGTTTGTTTTTCAGAAAAAAAAAGATCTCTGGATTTGACAGGAGTTATGTTTTCACAGATGTTGACATTTAACCAAAAATAGAAAATGGTCATCCAAATGGAATGAGAGGTTGAAAATTGCTGCAGTCCTGAACAACTGCAGCTGTAACCTCAGCTGGAAAGGACACCATAGATTTATACATTTGGACAGAAAGCTGAGAGATAAATGGCCATAACATAATCAACTACATAACATTTCTGGGCAATGACTCTTTTAAATACTGCCCTCAGACAGAATCTGGTAGAGACCAAAGACTTTTCAGATTGAGCTGGGTATTACACTAGAAGGCTACTATATGCAAATTATACACATTGATGGATATATTCCAGCACAGATGTAACATCTACAAACAGTATCACGAAATAATAATGATACCAAGATAATTACAAATAGTTCACTGAGAATGTAAGAGTACCCTTTAGTCTCAAGTTTCCAGTATATTTTGCACTGCAAGATAATTACTCAAAGTGGAGAGTAATTTTATTTCATGAATTTTGTCAGTATGGCTTGGGTATGTGTGTTGGGAATTAAATCATTGGCTCTAGTGATTTGATGTCAATGCCATACAGTTCCGGGCTTTCCTCAGCATGGGTTTGAGTGAACCTCTGTCTGCTTTCCCTAAAGGCAGCAAGGTAAAGTCACCATGGTCCCAGTGGACCATAAGGCTACTCTTTCATTAAAGAGGAGATGACTGGCTATGAGCTTAAACTGAGGGCTACCACGCCTCAGGTGAGGTTGAGAAGTCAGGACCTTCATGCTAACTTCAGCTGGTTCAGGAAATGAATTGTTGGTGTCATTCTGCATCACAAACTAGCCAACTACACTAAACAACCTGAAGGAGGCACCCTAACTCAAAACAGCAAGCTTGATATATCAGCGTATCACTTTCTGGCAATATTAGTACATTGCCAGGTTCAAATGGTGACAAAGGCCACTAAATTTATTTCCCCATAACTCCTCCTAGTACCCTCTGCCTCAACCAGTTTTGTCAATGGAAATCACTGCTTATCTGATTGTTTGTTCAAAGTTAGTGAATTCATAGAAACATAGAAGATAGCAGGAGTAGGCCCTTGGAGCCTGCTCTGCCATTCATCACGATCTCTAGCTACCTCTTCAATACATTCAATGTTTTGGCATCAACTACTTCCTGTGGTAAATCAATTCCACGGGCTTACCACTCTTTGGGTGAAGAAATGGCTCATCTCTGTGCTAAATGGTATACCCTGAATCCTCAGATCGTGACCTCTGGTTCTGGACACACTCACCATTGGGAACATC